TCCCCCCCCCCCCCCCAGTAAGCACCTGCAAATTTGACCCAACCTAAGCTCCAATTCTGCACAGGCTTTTACCAAAATAGAAGCATTTTCAGCCTTTTTTTGTAAAGTTAAACACTCCAACTACCACCGTTTGTAACGCTCTGGTACTCAAGCTCTTAAATTCTAATTTACACACACGTTGAAAGAGGCAGAAGGCTCCAGGCTCTATATAAACTTACAAAACTACCCAAGAAAATCCAGTTCATGACGGAAAAACTAACAAGCAGGTGCTGCTCTTCAGCAACATCCCACAGTCCCACTTCAGCATCTCAAAGCAAAGTAACACTGCTAATTATGACTTAGCTATTACCACTGAAAATCTGATTATTATACAGATTATTGCATTGAAAAAATAACTAACAAGACTAACATTGCCATAGAGGAGTGCATCCCAAGGCAAAGATCATTTACAGGACACAGTTTATAAAATCTCTGCTGAGATTCCATCCAGACCAGGACCCACGCAGGAGGTTTCGTGCCCCCGTCACTGAAACACCTGTTTTATTTTGGGTTAGAACCATCAAAATCCTCCTTTCGGCACCTGGAGACAGAGCTGTCACCTTGCTGACCCCCATGTTTTATGCCTGACCAATTCCCTTCGCTGCTAATTAGAATATTAAACATGAAAGCTGTTTTCTGTGTATTAAAAGCTGAGAGTATCCTTGACAGCACTCATTAGAGTCACCCTGGGAATAGGTTAAAAAAAAGAAAGACTTGGACACAGTAATTTAAAAACCCCCACCACTAATGAGATTCAACAGGTCAGGAAGCTTCTGGAGAATTAAATTCAGGAAGCAGCAGTTTGTTTTAAACTCATATTTTATGTCCTGCCTCCCCCAATCATCAACTCCTTTGAAGTTTTTTCCTTCTTGCGAGAGAGGTATTTACCCAGAAAAGTCAAACTATTAAAATCTCATGTAACTGGACGCTGCTTTAAATCACTCTCTGACGTTTGTGCTACGTACAAAACCTGCCGCCCTCAAAAGTTAATGAGAAATTTCTGAAGCGACGTCGATTTGGAAGCAAAATAGGAATGTAACAAATTGGGGAATTAAGGTGTAGCGGGAGAAAGCGTATTCCAAAAATAAACACATTTTTGTGTCATCATCTGAATTTCAGAGCTTGTTAAATCACTGAAATTACCCTTTTCAGTCCAATCGACAGGAGGCTCGCTAGAAAGTATGTGAAGTCCTACCACCAGCTCCTCAAAGCAGGGCACAACGGGGACATATTTGGGTACTACAGTTAAAACCAGCTGGTTCCGCAGCTGCCAGCTTCTTGTCATACCCACGAAAAAAATAATAATAATAATAATAACAGGACAAAGAGCTCTTTCTATCTGCCCCAATTGAACCGGGTCTCGCTTTCTTCAAAGCTCTACCTTTGGCCTTTACTCGACAGTGCAATTAATTAAAACAGCTGAAAAGCAGGCGTGCGGAGGTCAGCTCTGGGCTGTCAACATCCTCCTCCTCCTCCTCTTCCTCCTCCCACCGCGCGGGGCTCGATGGCATCATCGCACCCAGCTCCCTTCCCGGGCTGTAATTACAGGTGATTGGCAGCTCCATCACCAAAAAACCCTTCTTCTGGAAGTTTTGGGGCTCAAATACAATTAAGCGCACGAAATACTGGTTTTTAATATAAGGAACTGCGAAGTTTTAAAATATTTCGAATTTTTAAAAGGAACTGCACCGTTCAAAAATATTTTCAGTTATTATAAGGACCCGCAGAGCTGCAGAATAGGTATTTTTAAAATTATTATAAGGAACTGCACCATTTTAAAATAGGTTTTCTTTCTGTAAAAGCCTGAGTTTCACACCCCTGTGAAACCCACCCCGGGGGCAGCTGAGGGCGACGGAGCGTTTTAAACTGTTCTGATTCATTTTGCTGTATTTCCTTCGAGGAGGAAGATGAAGAGAAGAGGCACTTGTAGAACTTAAGCAGCTTTACAGGAAAAGTTATGTGCAGCTCCTCTCT